CATAAATGTCTGTTTTTTGCTTTAAGTTAGGCCTACGTTTACACGACAACGATGTACTAAACAGAAATGTTGTTCCTCATTATTTTGAAAAGCTTCACGCTCACAACGTTGTCAAAATGACCCCCGTTCACATGGATCCATGAAAAAGACTAAAAAGGCTGTATTATGCATGCCAGGCCATGTTGGCGACGTCACTTTGTAAAGAAACACTACGCGCCTGTAGACTGAACGCGTAATATGCACGCACATGACGTCACCGTTTTCACAAATTCGCGCTTTTGTAGTTTACAAGACGATAACTGTATCATTTTCAAAAACGTGTAGTTTGTGTTTTCAAGCCCCTGAAATGCTGTTGTTGTGTAAATGAACGACCAAAACACAAAGAGTGAAACACAAAAAGTTTTCTGTTTTTAGTTGAAAATGGTGTCGTGTAAACGGCCCCTTAAAGGGCTTTTTCGATGACGGTATTCTGTAAAAAAAGAATGACCATCTTTTCTTCATTCCGATTCTGACATCCAAAGGCACAAGAAAACATGTTTTGTCTTACTCTGTGGATCTCGTCCATTTTCCTCCATTTGTTACCACTGTTTTTCTGCCACCATAATGTGTGTGCAACTGCAGCGACTTAATGGTCTATATTCATATCTGACAGACATATGTATTCATGGTAATTCACATTTTCAATGTCATATTATAAAAACAGATGTTAACTGCTCAAATTATTAGAAATAATTTACAATCATTCAGTACATTTCTGCTTAAAAATTATTATTATTATTTTAGTTCCTAATATAAAATTGACATTTGACTTAACATTTCAGCCACAATAGAGGAAGTGTATTTTAACACCTTTTAAACTGTGCATAGCAGCAAATAGCATAAAAACAAACCTCATTGTTGCTGCTGACTGACGCTGGTTAGTACTCTCGATTCTACTTACGGCAATTTGTTACACATTTAAGTGCCTTTGTAACATGTAATTTTAATTTTAATCCATTTGAATTTTTCAGTTTTATTTTGAGAAGACATGAAAGCAAAGGGGATATCTGGTAAGAAATGCATTCATTTACTGTTTTATATATATTGTGTTTTACTGCTACATATATATATATATATATACACACACACACACACACACACACACACACACACACACACACACACACACACACACACACACACACACAAGCATTCTATGAAGGCACTGAACCCATTAACAACAAAAAAATGTATCATTCACGCATGTTTTTTTGTGATCTTCAAGACTATTTTGGCGAATGGTTTCGTTACTTCTTGTTCTGCATCTGGGTCATCGATATCGCCCTGATATTTACTGTATATCACTTGGAAGCATGTTTGAGAAAAAAAGTGGCAAATTACATTAAGGACCGACATCAACAAGAGGACTATGTCAACAGCGGTGCAAGCAGCTTCACATGTGAGCAAGCCAGTTGAAGCAGTAATTGGACAATTAATGTTAAATTGCTCTCACACAAAAATGGCAGTTCAAAGAAACAATTGATGTCTTGTAATGTAGTGTCTTAATATAGACATTATTAAATGAATTTTGTTCACTCCAATTAAAAATTATATTTTGTGAAGCAATCAGCCGTAAATTGTGAATAATAGGTACAGCTTGATAATATGATGTTCATATTCACGTTTCTGATAAACAATACTTTTTTTAAATGTCTAAAATAAATCTGAAAAGAGAATGTGCTAAGGTGACCATATTTTGATTACCGAAAACCAGGACACTCGGCCCGGCAATGAGATGATACTCGAATTTTACTCAAAGATGCCTTATTAATTTCAATACATTTAAAGTAGGCTATGCCTCTGTATGGATAAAAAAATGTTATTACAAAATACTATCTATAAGATCTGTGGCACCCCCATTGGACACCGAAACATATGTGCACACGGTGCACGCAGCCTCCCACTTGTCCCGGCCGGGAGAGTAAGTGGGGAATTTCTTCTGTAACACATTGGTAAATGTGCATTTGCGCTTCGGCATGTTGCAGGCAGAAGTGCTCGGACGGCTGTCTGCTCGCTCGTTGTGAGTGTAAAGAGAGCCCCAGTGACGGTCAATTTAATGGCCCAATGAAAAATAATGAAAACCAGGACATTTTCATCACTTTATAAAAAACAGCCAGGACCATAGATATCCATAATAAAGGCTAAATGTGTTACGGCGGAGTCTCTATCGTCATCACCGGCGGCCATCTTGTCACAGGCAAGCTTTCTGACGGGCTCTGTGGTACCTGATGTGAGATGAGTGATCAGCATGAACACAAATACTCTTATCTCGTTGAAATCTTGACGGATTTACAAACGGTTTGGTTTCTTACAAATGTTATTAACGTGGCTATAATTCTGGATGATTATTTATTTATACACTTGTTATTCATAAGTATGCAGTGTCAGCAATTTAGCAAGTTATGGTTATTTAAAAAGTACATGCACCATTAAAACACAATGTTACGAGTGAGCGAGCTGCCTGTGACAAGATGGCCGCCAGGTGCGGACGTCGACCTCCATTGGCCAACAGCGCGGACAAGACATTCATAGCCTTTATTATGGATATCTATGGCCAGGACAGGACGTGAAAACAGGACATGTCCTGGTAAAACAGGACGTTTGGTCACCCTATAATATGTCTATGTAGTATAACCTTTTTTCTTGACAAAAAAAAACAGAGTTTCTTAAATAACTCATGTTACAAAACTTAAATAACTTAAATTCGATTTAAATCGAAATCCATCGAAATTAAGTCACAATCTCGAACTTCGAATTAAAAAATGGAATCGTCGATGCTGTCACGCCCCCATGACACGGAAAAAAACACGCGTGTTGATGTGCTGCGAGTCAATCAACCTCTTCTAACTTACCTACAGCCAGTCAAAAGATAGCATGGCAACTGCAGTGCAGATGCAGGAGACCCATCGACAGAACTTGAACCGTCTACTCTTTCATTGAAGTCCATTGAGTTCTGTTGTCAACGTTCGCGCTTCAAAAAAGCCAGTTTGCAAGCTCTGCTATGTGCGTGTACCATATTCTTCCACTGGCAGCACGACTAAGATGGCAGGGCAGCCGCATCTCCACAAAAACATAGATTTATCTGTTAAATCAACAATGTTTGTTTGTTTTGTGAACTTGAATGTCGTCATCTGCCTGTTTGAGAGGCGGCTTTATGTATGTGTGCAAAGAAAACCATCTCTCAGAGAGCGCGCGAGTACTGAATAGTTTAAAATCGCTTGAATGTTCAAACTGGTAAGACTTAAAAAGATGTGCAAATGGTAAACTTTAGTTACTCACGATGCAATGCTGGCCCGATTATGCAAGTAACAATTCCGTCATGTCACGACTCCCGAAACGTGAGAGCAGCGCGCTTGACGATTGCCTTGTGCAACCCATTTTGAGAGAGTGAGAGAGAGAAGACGCGGCACCACTGAACACTCACGCTGTTTGTGAAATTGCATTTCGCAGACAGTTTAAAATGACTGATTTGATTTTATAATCTGCGTATGGCAGGTTATGGCAAAATATGGCAGGTTATTTTGCTTAAGTTTCCAATTGACTAAAGATATAAGGTATTATATTATTATATGCAATTTATGTTGTTAATAAATGTTTTAAATTTGACAATGTAGTGTGGTACATTGCGAACAAAGGTCAGATATTATATTGCATAAAAGTATATTATAAAAATGGCATAGCAACCTGTGCTTTAAAAAAATATATATTTAAAAATCGAGAATCGAATCGAACCGTGACCTTAGAATCGAAAATTCAATTGAATCGAAGATTTGGAGAATCGTGACACCCCTTAGTTATGAACAACAATAAAAAGTGTTAATTTAGAAATAAGGACAAAACTCGGTATGCTACTGTTTTGCACCATTTGTTTCATTAGAATAAAATTACATAGTACTTTCATTTGCACAGGGTAAGCGAGTCTGAAATGGAGGGAATGTTAATCTCCTGGGAAGAAAAAATGTCCTTTATTTGTCTTTTACTTTCTCATAAGTAATTCATCCTGTAGTGAACAAGCCAAAGTACACAGGGTCAAGCCTGCTGCAGCTGCTGCCAGGAGACACACACATTCCAAAGGGCAACAACATGCATGACAAGATGCTTCAGTTCACATCCACACCAAAGTAAATGTACATGAAGAGCCGTGATCAAAGCGTGTGTACTCACACAAAATGTGTGGCAACCCTGTCTTTGTAATCACTGTTGAAAGCTCAATGGTTTCAGAAGCTTGCAATCAACACCAAGGTGGTTTCCAGGGCGCTTGCACTAAACATATATCAGAGTTGTTTGTCACGAATCATTCATCTTAGTGTGTATCATGCAACGTCTGTGTTAAACTTTTAGTAATCATTAACATCATTTAACAATGAGATTTTCACAGTGAGATCAGATGCATTTCAACTATTTTATTAAACATTCATAAATGAGCTTTTCATAAGTATTATGTCTTTTACAACACTTAACTTTTGTTTTGTTATTTTTTTTGGTTATGATGTTTTTTATTTGTATTTTGCTTTGGATTATAGAGTGCTAAATTACTACATTTTAATGTAAATACACATGTAAATCTTATAGTAACTAGCAAATCCAAATACTGTCAGGTATAAAACTGTTATTTTTGGTCACGAGTAACTGTATACATATACACACACTATTACATTAAAAAGAATATTAAAATAGAAAAGTTATTTTAAATTGTAACAATTTCACAATATTACTGTTTTTACTGTATTTTGATTTAAAAAAAATGTAGCCTTGGTGAGCATAAGACAGTTCTTTCATACATAGAAAACTTTTGAATGGTAGTGTATAATACAGAACAGAACAGAATGCTTCATATATATATATATGGCCTGGCTCAAGCTCATATTAAATACAAAATTGCTACAGTTCCATGCAAATATAAGCATCTGCCCCAGCTGAAACACATTTATGCAGGTACTCCAAACCTGGAAGGGTTATCATTCAGGACATGTCATCTTCGATAACTCATGCGAAACACATGTGTTTATGATATTTGGTTACTGATCAGTGCTGCTGTTTGGTGACATCAGGACTTCAGGGTTCACTTCATGGAAGAGAGGCCGAGTCCTGTGTCTCCAAACCACCAGACCCACCCGCACCACTAACACAATACAGACCATCACAAGGAGCACCACTATGGAAAATAAGAGCATGACACTGTAAGCACTGTGAGCACAATGCTTTATTAATATGTAACATATTGCGAGGTCTTTTACTTTGTGCAATAATGATGCTATATTTATGGTCAACCACAAAGACATGGTCATGGATGTGTTTATCATTGACTTACCTGAAAATACTGCGTTCCGGCCAGGTTCTGCTGGGTCATAATGCTTGCTTAGGCTTCCAATTAGAGCATAGATAATCACAGGGTAAACGGTGAGGTTGTAACGGACATGCTTCTCTATTAGAAAGTTTTCAACCGTAAACCTGTAGAAGAAGTTGCAAAGAAATAAAGAACGCTTTAGAAATAGTGTGCTGATCTAATGCCTTTAATCATATCTTAAATATGGGTCAATGACATAAAAGTGCCCACGATAAAGAAAAAGATTTTCAAAAATCTAGTTTCAAGAAAGGTTTCAGTTTAATGACTGGTGTGGTGTTTGCAAATTAAAAAATATTTTCCTAACACCTTGAATACATGTGTATTAAACATCTTAAAAAAATTTTTTAACACTTTTTAAGACACATTTTTTACGTTGCACCACATGACAATTACAGTAACCTTGTCTTGTCATAAAAAGGTTTTATGTTTTTAATTTCATGGTCTTTTCATGTTTTATTTTCTGAGAAATAATAATAAAAGCCGAAATTCCAAACTACTTAAGGTTGTCTTGTCAAAAAATGTAAAAAAATTTATTCATTATGATATTAGTTGTATCACCTAACATTTTTTACTATTATGCTTCCCAAAAATAGCTTTTAAAATATTTTAGAAGTTAATTTTCATTCAGAACTTTAAAGCACACTCATAACAAAAGATGAGTATTTAAATTATCGCATGTATAAATTTCATTTTTTGGAAAAGCAAACACGAATACGGACAAAAAAAAAGCTTTATGTCATTGACCCAATATGACAGAATTTGTAGCAGAAAATAAATTATTATAATTACCATATAATTACTTCCAACAGAAGTATGCATAAAGAAGCTGTAGCAGCATTTGTTGGGGAAACTGATGCCATATCCAGCACAATAGTGAAGTTGAGCAGTGTGGCAATGGTTATCCATGTTGCATAGGTGGCAATACCATTTTGAACCTGAGGTACATATGGCATAGCCATTTTAAACAAGTGAATCTGTACTGCACCTAATTTACCTGATATATTTTAAGTCGATACTGTGCAGTTAAATACGCTACAATTTTAGGTGATATGCCCACTTAAAGAAAAATATAAAATTATGAGTGCCTCTTGTCAAGTGGATCCAATATGTTCAATGCATACCAACACTATGATGCAGAGAAAGTCTTTTGGGTGGTGCCGTTTCAGCCAAGATCCATGAGTCCGTATACCAACACAAGAGAAGAAGATCAGCAGGTAGTTGGTGAAAGCAATCAGGGCAAGAACCATCAGTGAGGGGATCATCAATCTAAATTAATAAGAAACAAACATGTGACCTCCTGTGACAGACTTTACAAAACAAAACAAAAAAAAAAACAGCAAAGCACCACACAAAACTCTTATGATTACACCGAAAACTATGTTGCCTATAACTTACTCTCTTTCCCACAAGACAAGCCAGGTGCTGTTCAGAATCATGTTGATGATCCAAGAGAGAAAGAATTCAGAGGGCAGGATTGCTGGACTTGAGTACAACCTGAGAACAAATAATTCAGACTAGACTATCAAACTCGAATAATGTCTTTCAAACTGTGTGAATAAGCAAAGTGTTGAATGTTGATGTGAGTGGAGTGTGTGTGGTTTGAAGTACCCTCTACAGAACCAGGTCAGGATATATACGTTCATCAGGCAGAGCCAGGAATAGATGACACCCCATATAGAGAAGGTCCATCCTGCAGGAGTGATCTCTGTCTGATATCTGTTGGATATATTTCCAGTGCTGCGCTGAAATGGACCTTGAAAGCCAAAAAAGAAAGTAGATGTATTTATAACTAGTTATATATATATCCGTAATTAAATGAACATACGTACCTTTTCCTTGTCCCGCGAGCGCGTTGATAATCAAAGCAGCAATGTAAGCGAATTGAGAAAGGACAATGAGCAAAATACGCAATATCTTGTGATTCCTCAAAAGCGACATTTTATCTAAAAATCACTAACTATTAAATTCTTCCGTTTTTGTGAAGCTATGACAATTTTGATGTTGAAATTGCGCTTGTCTTGCCACGTTGTGAAGTTAGCAAAGTTAGCCAGAGTCGCTGTTACACACTAGGTGCTAATAGAAACTATAACGTTAGATTTACGTGATATCTCTGCGTAGAGAGTAATGTCGCCCTTCTTTTTGACTGAATTATACCTAGGACTTTTTAATATATATATATATATATTTGCCACTATGAAGAAGTGGCGTCTTCTAACTTGTTTACTTTACAAAAAGATGCTCTGTTGAAAGTGTAAGAGAGCCATCTGCTGGACAATAACAACACGGCCAGCGTCCACAAGATGTTTCTCTCTCTAGACTAAAATTAATGTAACTTTGGCTTGGTTTTTACATACAGGGCTTAAACTATGCCAGGACCTGGCCTTCGTTAAATCAGGACATTAAAGTACCTTTTATAAACGTGCGTGCCTTAAATTGTTTTACCAGTGTGCATCTTGAGACAAAACAATGGCAGTGACATATTTTATGAAATGTCAGCGCAAGTTTTTTTCAGTTAACAGCTTTTTCAGTAAACATGCATTTTAGTCTGGGACTAGGCTTAAGCCTTATATGTGAAACCAGGCTTAAAAATATCATCTGTAAGTGTGATGAGTTAAAAAATAAAAAAGAAGGGGAGGCTGTTCTCTTTTTGGAATAAGATTTGTTCCTTATTGTTATTGATATTCAGAGTCAGTACCAGATACCAGAGAGCAGAGACAGACTTTTAGGCCTCGTACTTCAGTAGAGTGTTATGATTGTATTTCAGTAGGCCTATATCATAAACATAATGGTTTATTTGAATGTTCCCATTTTCAGCATGAGGTTTAAAAGGTTTAAAATTTGTGTTTTTCTGAATTAAACAATCAGAATCATTTAATATCCTTGAAAGCCACCTTTAAGTGCATTATGGGATTTTTGGCTGGTAAATTTGTTTACAATTTTTTTCATGTCTAAGGATGTCTAACAGGATGAACATACAACATTCAGCTTTTGATTTAACCCCGTAAAGCCTGACATACGAAATAATTGTCAGTTGTTTAATGGAACCGCTTATTGAACCTTTAAATAAAATAAAATAGTCTATATGTTAAAAAAATCTTTAAAAACAAGTTTACATTTGTTTTTTATATTATGTGTCATATTAGACACATCAGGCTTGTATGGCTATATTATGGCTTTATAGTATGATATAGTGAGAAAGCTCACACTCAAGGAGGAAAAAAACACCAGCTTTTTATTCAGAACCCCAAACTGAGCAATAATATGCATTTTGGTGAGGTTGCTGTTAAAATTGTAAGACGAAATTCTGATTGCTTTTAATGTAAATCAATGAGATCTTTATAAAAGTATAGCAGACTACTTAAATTTAATAAAAATGTATATAAATATCAGTTGTCACTCTATTTCTCCCCTCAAACATATACGCAATACATGACGACTGAGAGATATAAAAATGAATGTTCCTCAAAAGCCTGATGTATCATATTTGAGGCTACATACATTTAAACATGAAGGGGGGCATTTGTAGAATTATACTACATAAGAATTATACCTTTTACTTGCTGAAAAAATAAAGAAGTGTGAGCTATCAATCAGAGAGCAGAGTGCATCTGTAGGCTACAACTGGACTGACTGAAAGCCATTTGTTTGGGACTGAACAGAGTTCTCTGACAGGTCACCTAACCAGCAGTTCATGCGCAAACTTAAAACAATTTCTCTGATTAACAAGTCTGATGTGTTAGATTGCTGTGATGTGGTATTTTGAATAAAACAGTCATTTGTCCTGTCAGGTTGGTAAAACAATTGTGCAGTGCACTGGAGAAAGAGTTACAGTCTTTAAAACCTTTTAAAACCAAGACATTATTGTCTTGCCAATGAAGAATAAAGTGCCAGGTTCGTAGAAATGTAGTTTCTCCCTGTGTAGGCCTATATAAATTCATGAAACCTGCATGGCTGGAATGAAGTAGTTGCGTTTCCTCTCACAGCCACGCGAGGGCGGCAGACATCTTTTGATACAATTCCGGATTATCAATAAAACAAACTGTCCGGAGCAGATTGTAAAGCATCTCGTTTGTTTATTGATTTCAAACACTTTTACCATTTCGTAATATCTCGCTTAACTTCTGTGTTGTTCTGCTATTAGTAACTAATTGAACAATGTAGGCCTATTGTAATTTCACAAATAGGCTACATCTCAAATGTGACTGGAGCTGTAGAAATGGTTCCACTTTACACGTCAAAAAATATATATATATTCCTCCCCAGATAGCACAAGTAGGGGTGAATTCAGGTTGAATAGGACACTTTTTCCCAGTCATCTCAATGGCAAAAAGTGTCCCAATCAACCTGAACTCACCCTACATCTCAGAGAAGTCTATTTGATGTCTGCATTTACATCTGCAACAAAGACATATTTATTTTGGCGTGTTTGCTCATCTGCAATACATCTCTAGGATGTATCTTATTAGATGTCATATAGACATTTATAAGATGTTCTTATAATGTTCATTTATAAGATTTAGAATGTATAAATAACTGCTTTTTCTAAGACGTTTATCTGATGTTTTTGCACAGCAGATGCTTTCCAATTAGCAGATCTGTAGCAGACTACAGATGTACCGATGCTATCTGGGTCCCCCCAAGCCTGCAAAATATTTGTGACTGTACAACAGGCGTTAACGTGTTGTCTGTTGTTGTAATATTACGGCGTTCTTGTATCCGATTGAGAACAGTGTGTGTGGGTGGTTTAGATTACAACATTGAGCCCCGGTTTCACAGACAATTGGCTTAAAGGGATAGTGCCCCTTAGCCATTTTAGCTGTATATGACTTTCTTCTTTCAGACGAATACAATAGGCTTTATGCACAGCTTCACTACTTCCTGAACTTCAGCCAGCCCTTTGTTTCCTGTCTGTCATTATTGGACAAACTGATTAATCCAGGTGTGCCTGGTTATTGTTACTGAGGCCAGGCACACCTGGATTAATCAGTTTGTCCAATAATGACAGACAGGAAACAAAGGGCTGGCTGATGTTCAGGAAGTAGTGAAGCTGTGCATAAAGCCTATTGGAGTTATATTAAAACATTTCCTGGTTCTTCCAAGCTTTATAATAGTACTGAATGGGGGTCGAGATTTTGAAGCCCAACAAAGTGCATCCATCCATCATAAGCATACTCCACACGACTCCGGGGGGTTAATAGGCCTTCTGAAATGAAGGCCTTCTGAAACCAACTTACACTGACAATTCTTAAAATATATCAGTGCCATTGTTTTGTCTCGCGATGCACACCAGTAGTGTTTTTTTTTCCTAAGGCACATTAATAAAAGCTACTTAAATGTCCTAATTAACCTAAGGCCTAATCCTGGTTTAATTCAAGTCCTGTCTGTGAAACCAGGCCATAAAATCTGAAATCAAATAACACAGATTAAGAAATTGATCAAATTGATTATCAAAAACTACTTAAAAGGAGCAAAATGTTCTTAAACTGGTTTTAGAGAAATTCGCAGCCCTAGGCAAATGACTATCACTAACTGCTGTCACCCATTCTATTTTTAGACTTTTCCACTCAAAAGATGCGAAGAATTTGAAACATTTAAAATATTTCTATAATCAGAAAAGTTGCATTGTGTAACATAAAAATTGCATTTCGCAGACTGCAAATTATCTTAAGCTTTCCAAACGTGTATTTCATTAAAAAAAATACAATATTACATGTAAAAAGAATAAGCCCAACATTATCACTGACATAGGCCATTACATGAAAATGCAACCTTTGAAAATTGCAATGTTCACCAAAATCTCAAAGCTGTACATACTGTATTTTTATTAGGATTGATTTAAAAACCACTGAAGAGAATTAAAGGGATAAGATGTACAAAAAAGTATCCCATAACATTATACCCTTTTCCTTTTATAAGGTTATTCTTCCATTCTGTGGCCTCAATTTCCTAGTCAAGTTAGACCCTGAACCAATGCATTATGGAAATGGCCCTTAGAAATATTAAGGCATAGGAACATTTAAAATACTGTTGCACATAAAATGAAGTTAGATGAAAATATTGTCAACAGTTTGGACTTTGCCTACATACGAGGCAAAATAATTCCACTTATCTGTAGTTGTTTGAGAAAGTCAAATTCAAAACTGTCAAATGTCATTTGGTTTATGTTGACGATGAAGGTAATACTTTCAATAACAAATCTTACTGGAAGCGCAACGTTGTTTAAATGTCTTGAACTGAGAAATAATTTTGATTGAATCTAAATCTACATCATGGCCATAAATGAGGACAACTATTTCATACTCTTCAAGATAGTCAATATGTGCTGAAGCATAAAAAATGACTACATGACTGACACCTTAATTATTGCAAATACTTTATGTTGTAACAAATGACCAAAACAGATTACATCACAACACATGCTTCTGAAAAAAAAAAAAAAATTCCCCCTCAAAATTGGGGGGAAATAAAAATTAAAATGTGTCTCTTCTGCTCCTCAAATGGTTGCATAGAGAAACAAAAAACGAGTCAATCTGAAATGGATCCTAAAATAAATAAAAGCATCTTTAAATGGGCAGTTTGGATATTTCCAATAATTAATGCTGACGTTTCAGGCTCTGCTGAAAATGACACACAGTCTTACAATAGGATGTAGGGTTGCATTAAGGCACATAACAAGCAGGTGAGAGGTACGGTGAAATACTGAAGACCAGGAGTCAGCTTTTAGTCTGCTTCCGTTTCAGAATCAGCTCCGCCAGGAGTTTATAACGGGACATGCACTCCTCCTGAATAGGAAAAATAGAATCAATTCATCAACTAATATCAAAATCCAGCTTTTATGTGCAGATAAATATTGGTTTAAAAAGGACCTATTATGCTCTTTTACAAAGTCTTGATTTTGTTTTTAGGATCCACTAGAATAGGTTTTCATTCGTGAATGTAAAAAAAAAAAAAACATTGTAGCAGCACCTCTCTTCCCAGTCTGTCAGAAACTCTCTGGGGTGCGTTTCCCATACAACGATGTAGCTTGAAACTGTAGTAACATGGCCGACAGTCGCACCCCTGTCGTTTGAACCACATTGGTTCAACAATATAGGACTGTCATGAATGACGTCACTCGCAGGTGGAACTTCTGCTAATTAAAGGGATACTCCACCGTTTTTTCATATTAAACTAT